AAGCGACACGGTGATAAGATCAATATGTCTAGCAGGACGGAATTCAGCGCTCCTGAGCAGGGTCTGCGTGGCGCCTTTTCCAAGGGAAATATCCTTATAGCGCCCTATCAAGCTGCAACATACCGACCCGGACGCCCACCGCGCCCGCCCGCCCACAAATGTCCGACCGATGCTGATGCTCGTATCGCTTCATTTGCGAAGTACAACATGAAGCGAAGGGATTGATATGAAGCGGCTGCGGTGCTCATGGGTACATGATTACATACATGCATATCGATGATGATTCTACAATAGTCAGTGGCATGATGCCAACGGGAAAATCGTGCAATTGTTCTCTGGAGGTGTGCAACAAAGGCTTTTTTGCGAGTTTTTGACCGTTTTCCTTCGCTCTTTCGCCATTTTCCCGTTAACACAGCTGTGAGCGTTTTAGAACAAATTCCAAATTATGTACCTCATGCCTTTGAATGAGGAATGCATATGCTACTCATACTTCTTCCCGTATATGCATATGAAGAGACGAACGCCTCCATAGTCGGCATTTTTTGATCCCTTTCAAAGTATGTTACTGAATATTTCTACACCAGTCGGATCGCCCGGCTTCGCCGGGCGATCCTCCTTCCGGGTGTGAAGTGGGTGTTGCGCCAGAGTTTTCCCTGTGAAGCCCAGTCGGACCGCTTCCAATCCCGGCCCAATCGTCCAGCAAACGTCGCCGTTCCGTTGGTTAATATCTCTATCAAGATAAGACAAACTCCTGTGAAAAGTCTCCCCGCCCACCTTGTCGACTATGCTATAGATTACGTCCTTGGGCCCAAGAAACTAGAACTCTATGCAGGGCATGACAAGCAAACAAGAAAGTGCGATGATTAGAGTTCCTCGCTATGCGCGACCGATGGATATAATCCAAAGCCTCACAATCATTAGACTATGGAATGCCATGGACGCAGCCCCATTTGTCAAGGTTTCGATCATTTCGAACATGTCAGGTGATCCGCTAATAAGCACTGGCCCAAAACGGTTACTGACAGGATTACAGGAGACTTCAAGCGGGTACTTGTACGACCGTCGTCAGAGCGGTCACACTTCTTCGTGAAGGCTATGAACAAATGGTATGATATCCATTGCATTCGTTGACCACAGAGAAGACACTAATGGTAAGCAGCTCATTCACACTGCAGTGACGAACATTGACGCGTGCTCGACAAACCAGATGTGCTTTTTCAGGCTCTGCTAAACACTTTCCCAAGTGTATTTCGCTATAGTGTAGTTCGCTGCGGACGGTTGGGCGTGTCAGTGCGGCTGCGTTTGGCGCGTGCCAAACTCGTTCTCCACCAGTTGTTGAAGCGAGCAAGTGACAATACTGTATCATATCGTTCGTATTACTCGTTTTCTACCACTTTTTGTCGCATGCGCGCTTCAACAAGAAGGCAGAGAACGGCTTTGTTGCTGTGCACACTCATACTGGCTGACACGCCCAACCGTCCGCAGCGAACTACAGTTTAAGCGCTCTTGTCTCCTCCTACTATCGCTTTCATCTAAAGTTTGTACTAATCATTTTTCATTTGTTGCTGACTGGCGCTGGATGTTGCAATTTCGCTGTCACTTTTCTTCACTCCCATGTTGGCAAAAGCGAAAAGCTGTAATATTAGGTCATCCCATTCAAAAATGTGGAAGTTTTTATTCATATAAAAAAAGAGGAAAACAGATAAAAAGTAGTATTCTGGCATCGAATGAAGTAGATCCTTCCTTCTGTCAATGACCTGCTCCCAGGTGCGCCGAAACGCTGTTTTATGCACTCGGTACTTCGTTTTCTTTTTGAGTATTGCGAGTAGAGTCTGCTGCTGATGTCAGTTTCGGCGAAAGAGAGTAGCGTTGCCGTCAGACCGTTTTTTTCGGGGCTTCTCAACAAGCGACGAGAGCGCAGCTGACATCACAGAAATGTGTACTGTATCTTCGAATTGCCTGGACCATGAGTAGCGGTCGTGAATGCAGGAGCTATCGGTTCTGTGTGGGACCAGCCTCCGGTCCCCGTCATATTTAAACGCTCCTCTATGTGCGAAAGGTGAGAAAACCTTTTTTGAGTGCGTGTCCTGAGGAAGGCTCGAGCAGCAGAGGTGATGTATCTCCTTAGGTAGGATGCAATTCAGCGCTGGATCCGAGGCGAAAATACCAGACCTCTGAGGCGGAGGCGGTGTAGTGACAAGGGCGCACTTATCACCCGCGCGGTCCCAGGTTCAAAATCCGGATCGGCTCTCGCCCTAGCCAACCAAGCTTTCTCTACCCTACAGGAAACCGTAAATTGGTTCCAGATTCGTCTGGGAGGATAAGAACACTGACTTGTACATCGGCTGGCCCGCAAGTTAGTATAGGCCACATCGCATTCAATAAGCCACTACGATTCTGAATGGAAGTAGAATGCGTGCCGCATCTCCATAATGGGTTAATCAATAGCAACGACATAGTCCTTTTTTATTTTGCCAGATCTCTCGCATTTTGCCTCTCGGGTACAGTCCCCGCTACACGGCGCATCTGAAACAGGAGAAACCGACAAAAGCCAACAACTGGAAAGGTTTTCCACGGTAAATACAGCTCCACGTTACCTCTACGCGACCGATACCTCTCGTTAGTGATAAACAGCTCATCACGTGCCCGGGCTCCTGCAATCCACCAATGATGTAATTTTATTGATGCAACACTTCAGTGACTTACGGTAATCGCGGTTCTCCAACAGGGTTTTCAAAGCTGATTCGTGTTACACATTTGTCTCCCATGCTATTTTATTCGTTTTCTAAAAGTGGTAAGAGAAAGAAAAGGTTGTGAGCAAGGCGATGCACACAGATGGAACCCCTACTGACATTCCGCACAATGCATTCGGCTGATGGGCCTTGTCTTGCGTTTTCAGCCGTTTCTTTTCCCTTTGCCTCCATTGTTAAGTCTTTGACCACTCACGCTTTCATTTTTGGTTTCCACTACCGCGGACTAGTACTCGTAAGATCTCTCTTCACCCCAGACTAGTACGAAGGGGAGCCTGCTGGCAGATCTGCGATTACCTGATAGATGAGATCATCTCCTTCTACGAACAATTTGCTGCTCAACCTCAGCGGTTATCCTCTTCCGCGAATTGACAGTTAGTGATGAGGCAGGTGGTCGTTACAAGCTGAACGAGCCTCGCACACGTCGATGTTCCATCTCTCTCGTGTGATAGTGTTTCGCTTTTTTAGGACTCGTGCATTAATATGGCCTTACTTACAGCCATTTTAAGTTTGTTCACTTCGCAGTTATGCGCACGATGTGACACCTTTTTTTCAGGGCCAGATAACGCAGCACGGGTGATTCGATGTCAGCCTCATTTGCAATGCTTGTGGCTTTGTGAATGAGGCTCGTATCAAAAGTAGAGTGTCATGTGAGAGGAGCCTGGTCCACGCAAACTTAATTTTTGCTATTTCATTTCTTCTTACATTGGACGGCATTCTCTTAAACTGCGTGCGACCGTGAGTCAAGAGAAGCTGAGGGATAGCCTAGGCCAAGGCAGTAGAGAGGCCGGGATGGATGAATGCTCTGCTGCGAAGCGGTTCTCGTGTTCTATGAGAACTGTTTCACGCAACCCGAAGTCATTTTTGCCATTTCATTACTATTTTAAGTAATTTCGCTCATTTGAAGGTTCTCGTTCAAGGTTTCGAGATTCACCAACGCATCAAAAGTGTGCTTCGCCTCTCCGATAGCGTACCCAATAATCTAACACGCATTGCCCAGCGACTAACTCAAATTCTCGCGCTTGACATTATCCTGCATCCGTTCATCAGTCGATCGTGAACGTTTTGCCTAATCTAGAATTACTCTGATAACAGGAAATTTGGTGATTTAACCCCTCCATGTAAGAAGGGCATATGAAGTGCACAGCTGTCTTTTGTAGCGAATCATATCATCCGTACCGCTGCTCCGCAGGCCTTTAAAAGCATACATCAATGCCCACTCACGCAACTGTAACGCACACAACGGAATCGTTTTCTTTAGCGAGGGGTATGGATGCCAATGTTTTACTCCAAAAACTCATTGATGAACAGTGCGTTTGTGGATTTAAAAGGTAGAAAGAAGTTGACACAGCTTCTCTTCGTTGCAGAACGTGTCTTTAGGGCATGCAGAACAAGCTGTTCCCTTGCTGTAGATCTGTTGGCCAAGCTTGTTTCCTCTGAAAAGGTTGGGCATCACTTAGTTGCTCGTTTGATCGGAAAGTAAAGGGCCTTACGAAAAATAGAGGGATGAGAGCTGCTTTCAAAGAGGCACATCTAATGCCATTTGGATGAAGTACTAGGAATCCAGGGAAGTTTGTGGTAAGGAGTGTCCCATGGAAAGAGAAAGAAACCGAATAAGTGAGGCAGACTAACCCAGTTTGGTAGTGACATACAACATTCCAGTAAGAGTTGCATGACACAACGGCACAACCAACATACTGAGTGGTCGCCCATGCCATCTGCAAATTTCAGTATATCAGTATTTTGATAGCGAGAATTAAGCTGTTCATCATGCAAGAATGCTGCAAGATATCATTCATGGGGACATTCGCAACAAATCTGACCCTGGTGAACCATTCAGTCGGCTGGCCAGCATTCATTTGCGTAAAAGTGACACCTTGTCCAATGCCGCCAGTCACTCGTATTTGCTCCACCAGTGTTTTACAGCCTAAACGATTAATGTGTTTTTTATGCTGAACGCTCGTCCTGTCAGTTAAACTCACAAAAATTAGAGCATCCCCTTCAGTGCTAGCACTGCTTTTATCAAACAAGTGGAGGTTTTCCTGTACATCAGCAGGGAGATTCCGGGTAGCTTGAGGAGGGAACACCGTTCCGCAGATTTCACAGCACTAGATTCTAGAGTACAATTGTACTCCTGAAAATTGATTCTGCAAACATAATCAGATGAAGAAGTTGCTCTAGAAAGAAGCAAGCATCAGTAATGAGCAAATACTAGTGAAGTAAAAAAAATGAAATACCAGTCTGAGCATGTTAGGTTGCTGCAGGTAAGTTTTTCCCTGCCTTATTTGTCACCTCTCCTCTCGCAAGTCTCGCCCTAGAAGGTGCACAAGTTTTCTAGCGATGTTTTGTTGGTCATGCACAGATTAAGTGGCACTTCAAAAGTGTTATACCTGCGATAGTTGTGAGCCGACTTTGCCGATACCCTTGTAGAGTCAATCATTCCAGAGTTGGTCGGACAAATTCGATTGTTCGGCTCTGAAGATGCCGCGAAAATCGTGCGCATTATTTTTTCACGTCAAAAAGCTCACTAAAAGATGCTCTATGTGGTGTTCGATACCGGTGGCTATCACTACCTTTGTATAATGGGACCTTGTTGTCTGTTTGTTTCTTTTTAGTTGCCCAGAAATTCACTCCTCTTCAAAAGGCATAACGATAGTCCAGGTCAGCTATGGAAACCCAAGATGGGTTAGCATGTACGGACACATAAATGAAGATGTAGCTAGCCCAATGTTTGCGTGGCATGCATGAATGAGCAGCGATAAGGAAACAGTTTGGTTGAAAACAGTCAAATGAGAGGATGAGTCAACGAATTTCGGGCAGGGCGAAGGGTGACGTGCACACTTCCGAGACCAATATCTGTAACTTGGGTGTAGTCAATTTAGAAAAAGAGAGAAGAAAATAACGGCGAGCAAGGGTTTTCGTAGTAGATGAGTAGACACCTGCAGTGGGATGCGGGTGGTTCCAAAAGTCCTGTAATTTAGTCCAAGAATACCCAAGAAACCGGTCAGAGTACGGTGAGGATGAGCGAAAAACTGAGAGTTGCCTATGACGTACAAGGCCAACAATAACGGCTGGACTGCAGGAGGCCGTGAGCAGGTAGAGAATCACAACATACAACGAATATCTGCACGTCCGACGAATTCGCAGGGGTGCTCTTTGTCAGGTCTAGTCGGCTGTTTCTTGGGTTGTCCAAACTTGCGGCTCCACAAAGTAACGAAGGTGTTGTAGAAGTTGTATATGACACTTCTTACGCGTCCCTAGCTGCTGCCCAGCAAAAGTGAACGGCTGCTCCCTGTCATGGATTCAGTTTTTGTGGTCATATTTTTCTTCACTGCCGGACGTCTTTCACTATTAGCATTGCATGGCGCGGAGACTAGTAAGCCAGAGGCGGCGGGATATGGCTTCGTTGGCATAAAACGGGCAGATCTCGGAACCTAGTCCACGGAGGCTGTCAGGTCCTGACTTAGAGTGTTTCCCATGATTTTTCACCCTATCCCTTCCCGAGAGTCTTTCGATGACTATAGTTTTATGCCACTATCTGTAATATACAACCGTAAGGTATGTCGTCACAGGACGGAGTCGTAGAAGGAAGTGAAGCTCAACGATACCATGCTATATTGATAAGCAGTGCTTCAGAGGTCTATCAGCTGAAACCTGTGCCCTTTTTCTGTTATCGGGAACACCGCTCATTACAGCTACAAAAGGTGTTAGTGTTGAGCGTAATTCGTGCGATGGTGTAGGAAAGAAGCTTTGACCAGGCTTTTGCATGAGTTAACCGTGTAATGTCATTCGCTGAATGTAGGAGCGCATGTCGTTACCCGGTGATCCGGCTTATGAATTATCAGAGTGATGATAATTTTTCTCATATGATATATACAGTCACGTTATTGGTTGGTTTGTAAACCTACGTGGAGCAGCAGTGGTTGTTGCCTCAGTGGTACTTAGTTCTGTTGTAGCAGCTGCTGTAGTTGCTGGGTCTGATGTTGGAGGGTCTGATGTTGGGGTATCTGATGTTGGAGTATCCGATGTAGATGCCTGAGGCGACCCTTGCGTCGCCTGTGCTAGGACTACAGGGTGATTCACCTTCAAAAGGCATTTATGAATATCAAACACAAGACAAGAAACCATAAAGCAAAGACTCACCACAGCTATAACAAGTAAGCACTGGAAGATCCACGAAGTCATGCCGGAAACTGATGCTACTTAGATAGTGCCTCTTTATAAATGCTCACCTATGAATACTGTAGGAACAAATAAAAGGGCGAATATTGTGAAATTTTGGGCTGGGCAATATAGCCAACCATTGAGAAAAACTATGAGCCATCGACAAAAACAACACAGTCATTCTTTTCATTCAGAAGCGGCGCACCCCCAGGAATATTTGCAATGCACACGCGGACCAGTCCATGTATAAGATCTTCGCACCCACTTGCACGTGAAACCCGCCAGGTTTTCTAGCTTAGTTGCTTATTGAACCGGCCAATGGCCATTATTGCTTTAGGACTTTCGAAATCGGCTTCACACCCTGGCAGCGCACGCCTCAAATATGAGCACTGTTACGTGCACTAGCTCTGGAAGAAAGCAACCATTGTTCGGTTTCGTCAGCTGTGCGCAGTTCACGTCAATGGCTGGCTAAGCTGAGCAGACAGAAAAGAGTACAATAACAATGCTTTTTATTCGTTTCCAAACACTAGAGAAGCGCCACTAAAAGCGCTCCTTCATGAGTGAGCATCACAAAGTGACAAGTCGTGCATCGTTCTGCGGTCATCGTTGAATTGGTCGTAATTTTAGTCAGTCGTCCCTTCAAGTTGTTACAACTCGTATGCATAATAACTCTTTCGAAGATGGACCACCCGTCTCTTACAAGGGAGGTCGTTCAGGGCGTGGTGCGCTTTTCGAAAACGGTTTTTTGCATATTGTAGGGGCTCATGCAAGGACCTGAAAAGTGTGCTTCATTTTCGCTGTCGGCGCTTCCGGGAAAGGAAAAAAAACGAGTGAAAGAAATCTGTGGAATCTGCTTCGTTCTGGGCCTCTATACGGCGTAGGTCACTTGGAACTCTGACCAGTCGCTGAGTGGGATGGGGTCCTTATAAAGGGGCTTTTGAATCGAAGCGAAAAATCGCCGCAAGTGAGCTTCCAACTTGGGTCACGTGCTCAAGGGTGAACGGCTTCTTGCAATGGTTTCATCAACGATAAGAGCGAAGATCAGACCGAGGGATGGCCTAGCGGAGTAGTAGTGTTTGTTATCGTCAATCGGACGCGGGGTGGGGTTGATGGTTCGGCTCCCCTTGCGTCGCGGCTTTTTGCATTTTTTAGATTTCGCTGTTCTCGCTTCCATTTGTGTCTGCGCATGAATATAACTCGGATATTTGCCATTTATGGGCACATTCTGAGTAGCTGTACCTCATGAGTCAGTGCTATTCAACTATTTCGATTTTCACGCACCATTGAACAAGATTGTTGCTGGACGTTGATCCTCATAGGCTATACAGTGGATCTGATTGCGAATTTAGTAACTTCTGGTGTGGTGTCAATTATAGACAATTTGGGGCCACATCTTCTTTCCACTGAATTCGTTATGTACACCAATATAGGGAACGTTCAGCGCTATTCTGTCGCCAAATTGCGTGGACGCCAAGAATAGGTGTTATTTTGTGATCAGGGCCACTGATTACCACTAAAAACGAATTTTCAGTCAAAACAATTGTTTTGACCTTCTTGGGTTTGCTTATTGGGTTGTCCGGGGTCCGTAGCGTCAACGATACGTCATTGCTGTAAGATGCTGAGAACTTCCGCTACAGTGCTGGAGCCAAAGGATCGGTCACCAACCCAAAAGTCGAAAAAAAATTTCGCTCAAAACTTGCTCCTAGGGGTAATCGACAGTCCTGATCACGATTCTAGACTTTATTTTCGGTTCCAGTGCCATCTGGCACCGGCATAGCGCCGAAGAGCTGAGTCTGTGCATACCAACAAATTCGAACAGTGAGTTTACTTCGATTCCGAAGTAGTGTATTAGTTGACTAGATTTGCTGTTGAACACAGATAGAATAGGAATATTTATTCAGTACAATGGTTGTCCCGTGTTGGGACACTGAAGACAGGCGGAGGCGAGTGAGCGAAGAGAAAGAGTAAGTAATACTGTATGACCTCGCTATATATGGGTGAGGGGGCGGGGCGACCCTTTGGTACCTGAGGGGTCATCCGTTTCTCCTGGCAATATCCTCAGGCCAGTTGAATGAGGCCGCCCTGTCATTATAGCCTTCGATATGGTCGCCTCCGGTCCCCAGCAACCCAACAGTGGGTCACACATACACAGTCTCTATAATTTACATACGATATGATGCTTTACAACGCTCTATCCTAACAGAACGAAAAGCAGTTTTGCTCCATAAAAGTAGGATTGTTCAGTTCATCGTGAATGTTTTTGTTAGGACCAATTATTTAGACAAACATGGATCCAAAAAATGAAAAATTGTAGAAAAGCAAAATTTTGTCCTCGGTGGGATCCGAACCATCGACCTATTTTTTACGTTTTTTTTATTCGTAGAAGCGCGCAGCGAAAATGAACCTCAGTTTTCTGGTCCTCGTATGTGCCCCAATATAATATAATAATCAGATATATATATAATATAGCCAGCTACAATATAATAATAGATATAATATAATAACACTTAAGAATTTTTTTCCGTTATATTTCCCTTACAGCCGCGACGCACTCGGGTTTAAAAACGCTCCTTAATAAGCGACAACATGCTAATAGGTGCGCACAGCGGTGTGCCTACTAGTGTTAGAATAGCTGGTACTGAATAGGGACTCACCACTCGTCGATTCTCGGGAAGACACCGGCGAGCACTGCCGTGACGACTTTTGCGATGCTGCTGTTGGGACGCAGTGAGGTCCATCGCTCTTGTGGTGGAGTCCGTTCCGTCTCTGAACAGAATTTTCTCTGTCTTTGAGTGATGTGTAATGGCTGGAATATTGTGTTCCAGCATTAACTTCCTCAAACCTGCGGTGCACATCTGCGCTTCGGCTCTCTGCGGGACAAATTGAACGGACCCGCCATTTGAGTAACTTGCGCCTGCAATATCCTTATCTTACTTTCGAGGTCATTCCTCGCCGCCAGTGCCGAGGACAAGCTGTTTTCCATCTCTATTACTCCTAACACACTGCTTATCTACTGTTTCAGCTACCTGGTTCAGCTCGCAGCCGAGTCTTGCTGCGATCTGGCAGAGGGTACGGCTGTGCGAGCTGACAGTAGGCAAAAATTCGCGCAACTCCTCTACTGACATTTGGACCTCATCGAAAAACGAGGAGCTTGTTGACTGCTCCCTTCCTTCTAGATGATTTTTGACCTTGACTAGAGCATTCCGTACTGTTTCCCGTACGGTTCCCAGAATGATTCCGCGCTTAGCGCTTGAGAAATTGCGTATCTGGTCAGTTAGTACCTCGCTGAGCTGAACCAGGATGTTTTCGAAGCACTTATTTATGTCCTCGTATTCGCAACTTACTCCGATTGCGTTCCAATCGTTTAGAGGATTTGTGCCGTCGATTTGATCCATTTCGTGCTCGTTGCAGCTTGTTGTACTAGACATTTCAGCTCGATTATCTGCAAGTTCAACTGTTAATCCAGTTCGGCTTGGCCCCCAAGTGGTTTACTTCGATTCCGAAGTAGTGTATTAGTTGACTAGATTTGCTGTTGAACACAGATAGAATAGGAATATTTATTCAGTACAATAGTTGTCCCGTGTTGGGACACTGAAGACAGGCGGAGGCGAGTGAGTGCGAAGAGAAAGAGTAAGTAATACTGTATGACCTCGCTATATATGGGTGGCGCGAGAGGGGGCGGGGCGACCCTTTGGTACCTGAGGGGTCATCCGTTTGCTCCTGGCAATATCCTCAGGCAGTTAATGAGCCCCTGGTCATTAGCCTCGGGATAGGTCGCCTCCGGTCCCCAGCAACCCAACAGTGGGTCACAAATACACAGTCTATATAATTTACATATGATATGATTGCTTTAGAACGCTCTGATCCTATCCCGAATACGAAAAAGCAGTTTTGCTCCATAAAAGTAGGATTTTTCAGTTCATCGTGAGTGTTCTTGTTGGGACCAATCATTTAGACAAACATGGATCCAAAAAATAAAAAATTGTAGAAAAGCAAAATTTTGTCCTCGGTGGGATCCGAACCATCGACCTATTTTTTACGTTTTTTTTTATTCGTAGAAGGCGGCAAGGGCGAAAATGAACGCTCAGTTTTTCTGGTCTCTCGTAATGTGCGCCCTACATACTGCGCAAGACCATATTTCAAATAAAGCTCACCACGCCCTGAACGACCTCCCTTGTTAGTGCAGCGGGAGCAGTCATATCCCTCAACAGTAGCTTCCACCACAGCACCCACCCACAAATCTGCTGCTACAACTTCAACACATTCAAGTATCACTTATGCAGCAACTACTGCTACTCCACGCCGTTTTGAGAATATCAGTGAGCTTTTTTTGTAAAGGTCATCCCAAAATTTTCGTAACTCAGATCATCAATAAGCAGGATCATCTCGTGACTTCTGTCAGCGACATGAAATGTGGCTTTATATTTACGCACACCGGTATCGCTCTTTATTCCTCACCATCACGCCAGCTACATTCAGCTCTATTACCAGTCACTCGACGGCGGTAGTGAGCGTTGATTCTAGTGCACTGTGACACAAAGGACGTGAGGGCGCCCGGGTAGATCCGCAACTCGGAAAAAATAGATGCGCGGCTACAAAAAAATTAGCACTGGCGTCACCAAGCACTCTGAGTGAAATCGCATGATAACCTCTTCTATTTCCAAGATCTTCTGCGATGACGAATTAGCGAAACTAAGTCGGGAGTATCCGCCGCATGTAATCTCTCTGATCGCTAGCGATCTGTATGCACTGTTCTTCTCACTTGACTGTGAATATGACTGACTACCGCATTATGAATGTTTTCCTTCGCTGTAATATAACAAAAGAACAAAAAGCCAAAAAAGCAGAGGTTACGAAAATATTTGGAAAATTCGGCGCTGAACTGTGGGCGTGGCTGTGGAGCGCGGCTCACAGTAATGTTCAGTCAATTGAAGGTGACTGAGTCCTGAATTTGGTGCGGAAAATGTGGAATTCGGTTCGGAAAGCGTTAATACAATGTGAGTGTGGCACATCTTCATCGCTAGTTCCTCCGCTTGTAAGGCATGAGCTGTGGAGACTGGAAGTGATGTCGCGTGAATAGTTTCAGTAGTCAAATCGCAAATTCTCGCGGACTTGGAACGAGGAAAGCCAACTATCAATACAACACGAACCCCCACCTCCTGGCGGCCAAATGCCTCCCCCCTCCCCCGTTGGGGACTCCCCAGCAACGATGTGCCGTAGTTGGGAGAGTAGTGTGGTTCTCCACAACCTTGGGCCGGTTTCGCGCGGGAAATTATATGTATTAGGGGTTAGTGGCGTTATGAAGCAGTACAGGTCAAGCGACAGTATGAGGAGCGTCATGGAGCAATACAGGTCAAAGGCAGCCCCCGCGCTCAAGTAGTACATGATCGCCCTTCCTTGTGCAAGTAGTACAGCCCCCAAGCTAGAGACAGTCCTTTCGCAACTCCACAGCGAGCGATTAGCGAGCTACAGCCGCTGAAAGTTCTAGTTCTAACGCCCGCTCAGTTGGACCGCCCACTTGCTAGATGCCCTCTGACGGAGGCTTTGTTCTTTGTTGGGGCGGCGGGCATTAATCGGAATCGCATGCCCTTTTCGCTGACCGCGCTCGTGCCCATGAATGATTCTGCTCTCCTTTATTACATTTTATTCATTAGGGGCACATACAGTCAACTCCAACCCATCTCGCAAGGTGAAACGCGTAAAAATCACGAGCGACCCAATTTTCGTGGTGCAAAAGCTCGACGCACTTCACTACACTGAAATATGCACGCTACCGTAACTCTAAATTCGGACGAGTCTTTAAAAGTTTCTTTTCTTTCCAAGAGTTTTTCCTCGGTGTTTCTGCTGTTTTTGTATTCTTATCTTTGCACTGGATGAATCAACTACTGCCAGTTGTGATAGGAGAGATTTGTGAGCCGGGGGCTGCCTAGAGAGCGCAGGAAGGGGTGACTGTGAGGGAGCGACTTTGTTCATAGCGTTCTTGAGGACTCTTCTTGCTTTTTTTCCTTCATCGGGGATTACTTATCAGCGGCGCAGTTTGCCGACGGGGGCGGGGGCGTAGGCCGGGGATCTGCACTTTCGTTGCTTCACCTGGTTCACAAGTCTAACTCTGATAAAACCTTTGAACTCTTGTGAAGCTGGAGCAAACTCGCCATCATGGTCAAACCTGTAAACTCGAGAAGAGGCTGTCTGAATGGGTCGACACATTGATGGGAACTCGTCAAAGTGGCTAAATGCCAGCCCGACACTTTTATCGCGGAGAGCTGTCTTTAAGTGACATCTCTTCAAGTGACTCCGCCTCGATACTTTGCCTTCAAGGCCTGGCTTTTAGTTGAAAGCTAAGCTGTCAAACAAAAAAAAAGCATAAAATCGGCGCCTGTACGGATGTGTATTTCTTGTAAGCAAACTAGCGGTGCTTATGAGTGAGTGGTTTTTGGGGATGGAACGCGCGCAGAACTATAAGACCGAATGGAATTCCACGATACACCCTACTTTTTGAATCCGTAGCAAAGCGTCGATTTCATAAGAATCAGGGCGGTGTTATACCTTGGGCTATTGAGATGTTTTCTATACTTTTTCCTCACTATCAGCCTCGAGACTTACTTGTCGTCCATGTGCGAACCCCTTCTCCACTGTCTATGATAGCGAGTGATAGAGAACTTTGCCTTCAGGCGACGATCAAAGTCACTCCTGGATGCGGCACACGTTCAGAATCGTGCTGAAATTGCAAGGATGATCTGGTCCACACAATGACTAGCCATCCGGATGCATACAAGCTATTTTATACCGTAAGCGTTCAGTGTTCGCGACGGCAGTCGTTCGCTCCCTCGTAGGACGCGATCGCTCCGCGTCTGTCGCACGATAGGGATTTATTGTTAGTGCTCGCGCGAGCGAGCGACGCCGTCGCGAAGACTGAACGTCGCCTAATAAGTTCGTTGTCAATCGAGTACTATGAGGGGACTCTGCACATCAAACCCATTAAAAGTTTGTAGTTATTGCAGTTGATGCAAGTAGTAGTCCTGCATGAGGTTCCGTTTAATCATTAATTTCTCTGGCTAGAATTTGCTAGAAAGTATCCGTGAGTCGTTGTGGTGCAGCTTCCATGGCAAGTGAGTGCTTCACGAGATTAATTTGTCAAGTAGTATGACCAGAACCAGTCTCTTGCTCTCGGCAATATCATTCATTTTCTGGAGGTGATGCGAAAATTTTCTCGCTTTACTATCTAAAGGGTTATAGTTTCACCTCATCGACTGTTCGTCGACTTGTTTCCGGACATACCCACAGAAAAATCATAAATTGCCGAAGGAAGCAGGTATAGAAGCAGCGTTAATCCATTCATCTAGAATGATGAAAGATTGAAGGAAAAGTGCCTAGGATAATTCCTATGAGGAGGAGCCACTTATCTGGCGTCAGTACAGCATCTCGGAGGCAATCAAAGCGGGCGTGATTCACCAGCAGGGTACAGCATCGTTGTGCG